GTTTATTTCTTTGAGTTCAGCACTTTTTAAAGATGCCATATTGAATTTATCCTAAACACCATGAGATAAAATATTTAAGAACATTTATTCAGCTGTAAAATCAATCTGATTGAGGTTTTAATATTCTTCATCTGCTGAAAAATAAATGCCAAATTAAGGACCACAGGAACCATAAATCCATTTTGTCTTTAGTATATTCACAAATATGCATGAAGACTGGGATGTGCCTGCGAGAGCGTCACATGTCTGATAAAGAACACAATACTATCTCCTGCAAGTGGAAAATCACTTAGTAGCAAACACAACCGCAGTTATCAGCAGAAACAAGATCAGCAAAAACAAGGCCTGTGTTAAATAAAGTTAGATCTGAGCTGAGCCTTAAAATAGTTTGGCATACACACTAGAATGAATAAGCAACTTTTCATGAGCAGGTAAACAAAATTTACTGCATGAAAATCTGCCATTCTTGCACCAAAGCCTGAGTGAGTGACCGAGTGTAATATACTGATAAAACGTGCATACTGGGCATGTACAGGTTTCAGTCGGGATGAGAATAAACCATCAAGTAACACCTCTAAGATTTCTTCCTGAGATAAAGGATCTGAACAGATGCTCTACAATGTAATTTACAGTATTATGATTTTAAAAAAGCCTCAATCAGGAATCGCTGAATGAGCACATTTAATTAATCACATCAGTGTGATACTGTAACACCCTGATACACAGGCTTGTTAGAGCTAGTCCTGTCATAATGATCATGCTCTGTCCCTGATTTCTGATTAGGGCTTCAAGTTTGAAAGTACAAGTTTTAAACAAAACAAACAAAATCAACAACAACAACAACATATTATTATTATTACTACTACTAATAATAATAATAACAACAATAATTTTATTAATAATATATGAATCTGGTGCTGAAATACAGAACAGTGCAATCGCAGGGTGCAAATGACTAAGTTAGGGCTGGGTGATATGATTATAAAATATCAATATCGTGAAAAATTAGTTCACAAAACACTTTTTCAAATTTAGATATCGCAGGTTATGTAACAACAATTTCATTGCTTCTCATTGAAACATTTGAGTGTATTATTATTACAACTGTTCAATTGGTGACAGTTGTAATAATGAGCTCGTATTGATTCCTGGGCAGAACTGCTCAGTGTCCTTCACTGCAAGCAGCAGCTCATAGTGAAGGTCAGCCTGAGGTTATCTCTCAAGTGTCAGTATATAGACACTGCTGGAGGAGGGTATAATGCGTGTCATGACAGAATACCTTGCTGCCAAAACCATGGATGCAGCAAGAGTTCAGCAGGAAGAGCCCTTCAGAGGGCTTCCCGCTCCGTTGCCGAGCCCAAGCCCACAGAGGAAGTGTGGGTGAGCCTTGTTTATGATCTTGTTTATGTTCATAACAACTGAGGTGAAGAATTTTATAATTAAACTGCCATAAAATAAAACGAGATGCTGTGAGTCAGAATGGGAAATCCATTCCTACGTCTAATTGGTGTTTATTTCTGTGGTATTTTTCAGGTCTATGACGGACCAGATAACACAGCAGACCTTATCGGAGCGTTCTCCAGTTCCTCCATGTTGGGAGTCACGCTCAGCAGCACCTCCAACCATCTTTGGCTGGAGTTCTTCTCGGATCAGGATGACACTGCAGAGGGTTTCAAACTGAGGGGTTAAATATACAAAGGAACAATGAGTGATTGTCTAACAGTACAAATAACCAAGAAAACAGGAATTGGCTACCAGGCTGGTATGGCAGGACGACCTGACCTAGACGGTTGCACACTGGGTCAGAAGTCATGGCAGTTTGGTGCTTATCTTTAGCTCAACAGAAAGGGAAGTGTGCAGAATACTGCGAGAAGCATGAAGGATGCCAAGGGATAAATCTCTAGGGGAGGGGGAGATGTACTAACGGGCGAACTAGAGCAAAGGTTACAATACACAGAGGCTGCACGGAGAGCAGGTACAAGAAGGGGGCTATAAGATGCACTGTAAAAAATTGCTGTAATTTTTACAGTAAATTTGTACAGTAAAGTATTGTTTCATGGTTTT